CCCTTGAACATTTCTTGTAATACTGGTTTAGTGGTGGTGAACTTCTTTAGCTTTTTCTTGTCTGGGAAATGCTTTATCTGTCCTTCGATTCTAAATGATAGCCATGCTGGTTACAGTAATATTTGTTGTAGGTTTTTACGTTTCATCACTTTGAATATTTCATGCCATTTCCTTCTGTCCTGTAAAAAAATCAGCTGGGAGCTCCCGTGTACATAATTAACTGCTCTTCTTTTGCTACTTTTAGGATTTTCTCTGTGTGTGTAACTTTTGGCATTTTAATTACGATGTGTCTTGGTGTGGAACTCTTACAGTTTGTCTAGTTTGGGATTCTCTGCGCTTCCTTGACTTGTATGTCTATTTGCTTCGCCATCGGTTAGGGAAATTTACAGTCATTATTTCTTCAAATAGTTTTTGAATCCCTTTCTCTCTCTGTTCTCCTGGTATCCCTATGATGTGAATATTGTTATGCTTGATGTTGTCCCAGAGGAATTTTAAAAGTATCCTCATTGTTTTTGGTTATTTTTTTTCTGTTTTATTTTTGCTGACCCTTTAAGAGCAGTGTATCTCAGTTTCCCACAGCCCTTTGTCTTTCTTAGATGTGATCCCTGCTGGTTTTCACAGTGAGATGTTTTGGGACTCCTCTTTCCAGCACTGGTGCCCTGGGCCGGCAAGCCTGGTGTGAGCTGGGACCCCTTGCTCCTCAGGGGGAACCTCTGGAGCTGACATATCCCTCCCAATTCTTAAAAGCCACACTGTGTGTCAGACCTGCCTATTCCATGTCTCTATCCTACCTACCAATTTTGAGGTGGTTTTTTCTTCATATCTTTAGTTATAGTAATTCTGTTCAGCTAGTCTTCAGGGAGTTCTCAAGGATGATTGTTCTGCAATTTTAGTTGTAATTTTGGAGGGATCATGGGAGGAGGTGAGCACAGAGTTGATCTATTCTGCCATTTTGACTGGAAGTCCCAATAATACATTCTTTTACTTTATACAGAGTTAAAAAAATTAGGAAACAAATTTTTTATACTTAAGGACAAATTTTTCATTTTTGGTGGTCTTTGTTATTTTGTGTAGATCTAGATTTCCATCTGGTGACATTTTCCTTCTGTTTGAAAGATTTTCTTTAACATTTCTTGTAGTGTGGATATTCTCGTAATTAACCATTCATCTTTAGTATATTTGTCAGTCTTTATTGTACTCCTTTTGAAAAATGTCTTCAGCCTTTCATTGTTTCCAATAAGTTTTCTTTCTTATCTTATTATATGAATGCATAATATATAACTTTGAAAAATATTTTTCTATCATGGATTTTCTACCATGGATATCTGTCCTTTATTTAGGATATTCATTTTCATTCTATTTTTGGGGTTTGGGTTGCGTTGAGCTTCTTTGGATCTGTGGACTTACTGTTTTCTATCAAATTGGAAGATAAAATCAGCCATTAATTTTTAAATATTTTTTTCTGACTCCTCTCCCCTTTTATTTGGGGACTCAAATCATATGTAAATTAGTCCACTTGAAGTTGTGTCACAGTTTAGTGATGCTCTGTTTACTTATTTTCAATATTTTTTTCTCTCGTGTCTCATTTTGTATAGATTATATTGCCATAT